TCCCTTTTACTTACCTACTTTTGATGGTTAGTATTAGGACATATTTAAATTAGCATACCTTATGTTATGCATGCATGCATTCATACATTTGTCTTGCATGCACTGGGCTCGGCGCATCATACTAACTATATTCGTGTTTTAATCCCAAATTGAATACGTGTTAGTTGTAGCATTCCGCATGTCATTTTAGAATAGTCGAGCCTATTGTATTCGCATTCCATTCACATTCCTGCATGTGTTGCATTAGGCATTTCTGTATAGTTAGGATCATGCATGGATTTCTAACATAGCTTTTGTTTTGGCTTGGAGTACTCGGTAAGCTTTTACGCTTTAGCATCCTTGCATGCGTGTGAGTGTTGCCATGACAGCATGCTTACCATGTGGCTAGATGCTTATGTGATATGAACTGCCTGAATGCCTGTGGGTGAAGGTTGGATCATTTGAGTTGGAACAACTCATCGAAATCCGTGCTTTAGCCTACTCGCGAGTAGAAAAATTCAAAACATTTTCCAAACAAACGGAAATGCGATGCTTTGTTCTGACTTAGGCAATTTAGTCTATACTTGTTTTGCTATGCGCATCACATAGTAATTCTAGGCTAATAACAGGTATAAGAACACATAATGTTTTCAAAATTGGATATCATGGTTAGTAGAGGCTGATCTTCGGATCGAGCAAGAGGGGGTGCTCATAGCTGACCTTCCCCAATCGTACCCAAGTTCCCGAGCCGAGGCAACTTTGGTGATGATGGACACGTGGCCTTAGGCAAACGAGTCAGGGTTTCCTAAATTCCCCCATAAAAAAAATATTTAGGTGGCGACTCTGTATCTGGCAAAGCAGTCCATGTTTGGCACTTCTTTTCTAAAAATCAGTTTTCTCAAAACGATTTGCCGGATTTGGACTCTTTGGTTCAGATTAAGAACCGTGACACAAAAGGGAGTCCGAACTGTGGTGGCATAAAGCCCGAGGGCGCGTCCACACCCTGCGCTCGAGCGTGAAATACGCTCTCTCAGTATTTTTGCAGACATCGTCCCTGCTTAAGCGCCCGAATTCCCGCTCGAGCGTGGAGCGAAATTTGTGAAGCCTGCTCGAGCGCAAGAATGCCCGCTCGAGCGGAAGAGCCAAATTCTGGGCAACAAAGGCTTAGAAAAATAAGCAACTAACCTATTCCAAACACACAACTACAACCCGATAACGAACATTAAAGGGAAGACAAGGGAAGCAAGACATGAACCACCATCCAAACCATACAAACTCGAATCCGGAACACCACAAGAGACAAGTCAAAACTAGGGTTGCTATACATATATTCAACATATATCTCTTCGACTTATGTGTCTAGATCTCCATTAGAAAGGGAACAAATGCAAAAAGGAATGAAGATGTGTGTACCGCCCACAAATTACAGTATAAGTCAAACATTCACAACATCCATAAGCATAGGAGAATTATTAACTTTTCATTCATCAGAGTCTTTTTTACAAAAGATATTACATGTTAACAACAAAGTAAATGCCCTACGGGCTTACAACTTTCCAAGTTATCACTTAGTTACAACAAAAGAAGAGTTCTAACTCTATATACAAAAAGCCCTCGGCTTGGATTTACATTTAACACAAAATATAAATAACAAAACGGAGTCTTCAACTTCTAAACCTCCAAAGCTAAGACCTTGGAGGTGTCATATCACCTGTACCTGAAAAATGATGTCCCAAGTAAGGTGAGCCAGTACCCAGTAGAGATATGCTAAATAGTATATGAGAATTAACTAAAACATTAGCATCCGATAAATGTGTAACGTTTGTAAACTACATACATCCTTTCCACAACCAATCAACATTCACATCCATATTTCAATCCATTTCCATTTATTTATCCAAATCAATTCATTGACATAGTTCATTGATATCTAAACATTTCAAAATGAGACTACAACTCATATTGTCAACACTTCAATCATAAACATCATTCATACACTTCCATTCACCTGCCATTTTATGGAACTACGTCCGAGGGAACAGGCACCCAAATATATATAAGATTTCGGGACTTTCACCCTGGACACTCCGGCCAAATTAATTATCCATGGAGTCCATCCCCTATCTCCTCCCAAACAATATACGTATACAATGTATTTAAATAGGTTGTCATATACAATGACCAATTTAATCACATATACAATGTTTTCATCCAACCGTCACATTTAATGACATAATCCAATTGATTAGTTTCAATTTACCTAATCATCATGCAGTTTCTACAACAATCATGGCTATCCTCCACCGATAGCCCAAGACAGATATATCTAAACAGATAAATAAATTTATCAAACAAATAAATAACTTTTATCAACAGATAATTTGTCATATGCGATTCATCAATCAAACTACACCATTTAATCACAATTTATTCCAATTTCATGATTTTCAAACCAATTTCATATTTCCACATCATTTTCATTATTTATGCAAATAACTTTTATAATTCAAATTAGGGCATTTTTCCCTTTTTCTCAAATATTGCTCCCAAGGTCAAATCTCACCCATTACACACAAACAACCCCATTTTCAAGACCTCACATACAAATGGAACCCAATAACAGGAAACCCCTCTTTTAAACATTCAAACTCAAACCCTAACTTTACCCAAAATTCTCAAATCTCACCATTTATACAAAATGATTGACATTTATGTTAAAACTCATAGAAATGAGTAGATTATCCCTACCTCGAATGGAGAAGCTCAAAGGAGAAGAAGAGGAAGAACCCAAGATGTTCCAAATTTAAAATTTTTTTGAATCAAAAGATAGCCCACGCTATGCTCTACCTTTTTTACAAAGGAAGTAGGGTAGAGACACTCTAGATCAAATGTATTTGTAGAGAGAAGGGGTATTTTAGAGAGAGAGGCAACCGATCTAGGGTTTTGGAAGAAGAAAATGATCAAAAATGGCGTATTTCACCTCTGCTGTGAACTGATATACACGAGGCTCGCTCGAGCGAATGCGTTGTCGCTCGAGCGACCAAATACAAAAGAACCTCGCTCGAGCGCAAGAAGCGTCGCTCGAGCAAAAAATGCAAAGCTTCAGGTCTGCAACACAGAAGCACGCTCGAGCACAAGAGTTCTCACTCGAGCGAAAAAACAAATAACACAAGGCTCGCTTGAGTGCAAGAAAGCTCGCTCGAGCGAAGAATACCAACCTTCAGGTCTTACCTAGACGCAGATGCATGCTCGAGCGCAAGAGTTCTCGCTCGAGCGAAGAGACATACCACGCAAGGCTCGCTCGAGCACAATGAAGCTCGCTCAAGCGGAAGCTGCATTTGAAAAGAAACCTGAGAACCCACAATACTCGGTCGAGCGCAAGAAACCTCGCTCGAGCGAAGAAGCAAATACCCAGGGCTCGCTCGAGCGCAAAAAGCCTCGCTCGAGTGAGGAAGGCAAAACCTGGGCAGCAACCATTTGTTTCAACTTACAACCAACCTATTCCAAACTTAATCAACACACCCCACAACTCAAATACAAGGAATTAAAGGATGTAAACCAGATATAGACAACAACAAACAACCACGAAACCCGAGTCCAGAATATAATAACTGACGGGGAAAAACCGAGATCACTATACTATGAAAAGTTGCAAATTTTTCAACAAATAGAATACAAAAAGACAATAAATTGGATGAGAGGATCAATTAAAAATAAAACACACAAAAGGCTCATTTGTTAAAAAGAAAACTTCTTATAATGCTTCAAATTCTTGTAAGATATTAATAGGGTTGTTTATATATATATATATATATATTATTCTAAAAATTCGTGGAAGTGTTTTTAGTATCATTTCTACTTAAAATTCATGAAAAAAAACACTTAAATTAATTAAAAAATTAATTATTAAATAATGATTTTAACTTTTACTTTTTAATAATTAACTTTGTAACTTGTAAGAATTTTCACTAACACTACAAGAATTAACACTTTTACCGACCAAAAAATTGGTCGCTAAAACCCATTTTTGGTCGGTAAAAGTTATTCGCGATTAATTTTTTTGGTCGCTACTTTGGTCGCCAATTGAGGGTCGGCAAAAATAATTCGCGACCAAAATTTTGGTTGGTCGGGAAAAGTTGGATTTGCCGACTAAATTTTTGGTCGCGAAATATATCATTACCGCGACTAATTCATTTAGTCGCGAAAAATGATATTTTCCCAACCAAATATCTTAATCGCCAATTGACACATTTCGCGACCAAAAAATTTGGTCGCCAATTATCACATTCAACGACCAAAAATTTTGGTCGCCAATCGTGACATTCCGCAACCAAAAAATTTGGTCGCCAATCGTGACATTCCGTGTCCAAAAAATTTTGGTCGCCATTTGTTACTTTTCGCGACCAAAACTTTTGGTCAGCAAAAGTGAGATTCCACGACCAAGAGCTGTTTTGGTCAGCAATACATGTATTTTTTGCGACCAAAACTCTTGGTCGGCAATTGTCATTTTTTGTGAAAAATATTTATTTTGGATGTCGCAACTAATAAATTAGTCACCAAAGCAGGAAAACAATACACTTGTAATTCCTAATAATTCATTCAATCCATAATAAACAACAACTACTGATTCAATTCCTCAGGAGAGTCAAATGAGATTAAAACAATTAGCCACAGTTCTTGCTTGCTATGCAGCCACCAATGTTTATTTCCCTAAAACACAAACAAAACTAAAAGCTACAAATAAGCTAAGCAAGAAAAAAATTCAGAGATCTCGAGAGAGTGAATTGTTAGCAGAAAACCACAACGGTGCTCTCCCTCCCTACAACTCATCCTGCAAATACAAAGCAACAAACAAGATATATCAAAGTGGATCCTTTGTGGAATTGATATTTTTAAACAATTAAAAGTAGAAAGAAATCCTACATGTGCACTCTCTTCTGTAATATCATCATCTTTGTCAGTTTCATCATCACCACCTTCAGCTTGTAAAAACCAGTTTATCAAGATTAGGACACGGTTAAAATAAACAAATTATATTGTTTAGATGAATTCGTGGCACTTACATCAGAATCTACAGGATCATCCTTTGATTCCTGGCAGAAAATCAAATTGAGAAGTTGGCAACAAGACATGGAATAGCACAATCAATATTGTATTCAACCAAATAAATGCACAGATGACTCAGAGAAGCTAGTTAAACATGTTCAAATTTGACAAATGTTAATACATGTTCTGATATCCATTCTGTCTGCATTGATGCATTTCTGGCAAAATAAATACTAATGTAGTGCTTGGTTCATGGATTAGGGTACAGCAATTTGAAAAGGAAAATGAAAATAGAGAAAAAAAAATGAGCTTATATTTCATTCTCATTTGCCTTATCTTTCCCTTTTCTGTTGCCCTTTTCAAATCCTTACCTAAATCCATGATCCAAACACATCCTAAGAGGATACTATTTCTCTATTATTTATAGTTGCCAATCTAGATTTCACAGCAGAGATATTAATAATAGAAAAAATGTAAAAGATTTATTAAATGAGATATTAAATAACAGCAATTATGAACAAAAAAAATACCTCCTCCTCTCTCTTCTTCTCTGCCTCATCAAATGCTGCCTTCTCAGCCTGCAAAAATCAAATATAATCCCAAACTTCAACAATTGGAAGATATTTTCAAATATATCAAAATTTGCTTTTGAGGGGCAAAAGACAACATACATCCTTTTGTTTGCCCCACGTTTCCTCTGCCAGCTTCATCGCATAATCCAGATCATCACAAATCAAGACATTGTCAAACAGGGTTCCAGATTTCACCTGACAAAATTCATGCAACTTGCTTAGTCATAGTCACAATTCCATAAGAATGATAAACCATTTATAAGGGAAAAAACAGAAATACCTGCCACAATTCAATGCCCACATACTTCAACTTCGGGAAAACATAGATTTCAGGGTCATCTTTGAACTCTGCATATAGTAGCAATTTTTCGGTGTTAATGAAACATGTAACTTAAAGATGTAGACTAGAGATAATACATGAAGCCTTCAAAAAAAGAAAGAAAAGCAACCTGGGTTATCAATCATATGTGTCTTCCACTTGCGCTGGTAGTTGGGATTCTTAATTTTCTGAAAGCAGAAACGAACTTGTTATAAATCATTGGTCTCCAATCACAACACTTATTCTTTATATATTCAAATTATTATTATGATATCTTACTCATTTACAGCATGACAACAAGGTTAGACTTAACACACATGCATACAGACATGATCAGGCACGTGCACTGTGCAGGTTAGTGTTACATTAACGAAACATTATTTCACAGAATGATAAGCAGCACGACCAGTGTTGGTAAAAGTGGGCTTCAAGTGCAATAGCAGAAAAGCTTATAGTAGTTAAAGTAAAGCGCATTTACAAAATACGCTTAAAGCGCGGTTTTTGAATTAAGCATGGCTTTTTGCCCTTTTTTATTTTATGTTAAAAAAATAAAATGTTCTCAACTCTTACGACGAGTAATTATGACATTATTAATTAATGCACATCAAACATAGCATGAGGTGGATTCAATTTATCAAATGATCACATGTAGGATAGGGAACCCTTTAAAGGTATCTATCTGCCTTTGAAATATGATCCTTCTTGACAATAAAAATACATAGCTTAGTTTCATAGCAAGAAACTTCCTTAGAACATGAAAGTTACCAGCTGATGCATTGTCCACCTCTTCACAAAGAAAAAGCTTTCAAAGCCTTCAACAAATTGCAGTCCAGTTAAGAGAGAATCATTGATGCATCCTGGTGCACCTGTTTAAGCATATAACAGACTTGCTATTGAAACATGCTTGCAAAACACATTAAGAAAAATCAAAACAAACACAAAAACAGCTTAAACTGTGTAAAAACAATGCTCTAAGTTGTATTTCAAAGAGCATGGAACCGCTTTTTCTATTCAAAGAGAAGATAATTGTATAAACTTATTCCCGCTTTATTTGTGTTCCCCTTCTTGTTCATTATCATCAACATCAACTAAATTTTGCTCTATTTATGTATCTGCTTTTGTTCTTTACTAGTTATAAATTTCTGAGACAAAAACAATAAATATATTTATGTGTTACAAATACCATATATAGAGACAAAGGAGATTGTCCTATTCTTTACTAGTTTACAAATACCTAAAATGAGTGAAACCAATTTTTTATTCATTCTTTCTACTTAACTAGAACCATATCCAGTTTACCTTTCAGTTTTAAAGATAATAAAAACGGAAGAAATTAAATTGTTTCGGACACTAGCCACTGAACCTCATTCATGTGATTGATATCACTGACAGAAGACAATTGGCAACCAATGGCAATGATCCAAAAGACCTGTTTTGTTATGTTGAGTTATAACATAATGCATGATTCTCCAGGGTTCCTGAGCTTAGCCAAACAACATTTTCAGGCAAAGTTGAAACTCCCAATAAGCATAATGTTTGCCAAACAAGCAAACACGTGGTGCTGAGAAATCACCTTGAAAAGGGCACAGTTTTGATGAACTAACTTCACATAACTTACTTGGATTATGGGAATATATCTTCTGTAGTTTTCCTCCATGAAATTTATTTATTTTTTACTTCTAATGTTGAATCATTAATTAGTTGATTATGAATTTAATCAGAACTAACTTATCACGACCCAAACCTATCCCTATAGATTTAGCGTCGTAACCGGCCAGTAATTCTGGTATTACCGAAGGCCTCTAACTTCGAAATTATAATAATAGAGGGGTTGCAGAAGCAAATATACAAAATATAATATCCATAGAGCTGTGTAAACATACATGTGATAGAAAAATTTCAAATATATATATATATATATATATGTTGCCAAACTTCCATACGTTATGCAACACCATACAGATTCATAAGGGACTTAGCCCATCGCACAGGTAAACAAAAACAAAATAATAAAACATCATTGTCATGGATCACAAATGTAACGCCCTTAATTTAAGACATAAATCATTCATTCACAAGTCCCATGAACATAAAGAAATAATACATTTTCATTCATCAGAGTCTTTTTTACAAAAGATATTACATGTTAACAACAAAGTAAATGCCCTACGGGCTTACAACTTTCCAAGCTATCACTTAGTTACAACAAAAAAAGAGTTCTAACTCTATACACAAAAAGCCCTCGGCTTGGATTTACATTTAACACAAAATATAAATAACAAAACGGAGTCTTCAACTTCTAAACCTCCAAAGCTAAGACCTTGGAGGTGGCATATCACCTGTACCTGAAAAATGATGTCCCAAGTAGGGTGAGCCAATGCCCAGTAGAGATATACTAAACAGTATATGAGAATTAACTAAAACATTAGCATCCGATAAATGTGTAACGTTTGTAAACTACATACATCATTTCCACAACCAATCAACATTCACATCCATATTTCAATCCATTTCCATTTATTTATCCAAATCAATTCATTGACATAGTTCATTGATATCTAAACATTTACAAATGAGACTACAACTCATATTATCAACACTTCAATCATAAACATCATTCATAAACTTCTATTCACCTACCATTTTATGGAACTACGTCCGAGGGAACCGGCACCCAAATATATATAAGATTTCGGGACTTTCACCCTGGACACTCCGGCCAAATTAATTATCCATGGAGTCCATCCCCTATCTCCTCCCAAACAATATACATATACAATGTATTTAAATAGGTTGTCATATACAATGACCAATTTAATCACATATACAATGTTTTCATCCAACCGTCACATTTAATGACATAATCCAATTGATTAGTTTCAATTTACCTAATCATCATGCAGTTTCTACAACAATCATGGTTATTCTCCACCGATAGCCCAAGACAGATATATCTAAACAAATAAATAAATTTATCAAACAAATAAATAACTTTTATCAACAGATAATTTGTCATATTCTCCATAGGTGAGCGATTCATCAATCCAACTACACCATTTAATCACAATTTACTCCAATTTCATGATTTTCAAACCAATTTCATATTTCCACATCATTTTCATTATTTATGCAAATAACTTTTATAATTCAAATTAGGGCATTTTTCCCTTTTTCTCAAATATTGCTCCCAAGGTCAAATCTCACCCATTACACACAAACAACCCCATTTTCAAGACCTCACATACAAATGGAACCCAATAACAGGAAACCCCTCTTTTAAACATTCAAACTCAAACCCTAACTTTACCCAAAATTCTCAAATCCCACCATTTTATACAAAATGACTGACATTTATGTTAAAGCTCATAGAAATCAGTAGATTATCCCTACCTCGAATGGAGAAGCTCAAAGGAGAAGAAGAGGAATAACCCAAGATGCTCCAAATTTAAACTTTTTTTCGGATCAAAAGATAGCCCACGCGATGCTCTATCTTTTTTACAAAGGAAGTAGGGTAGAGACACTCTAGATCAAATGTATTTGTAGAGAGAAAGGGTATTTTAGAGAGAGAGGCAACCGATCTAGGGTTTTGGAAGAAGAAAATGATCAAAAAGGCGTATTTCACTTCTGCTATGAACTGATATACACGAGGTTCGCTCGAGCGAATGCGTTGTCGCTCGAGCGACCAAAAAAACCTCGCTCGAGCGCAAGAAGCGTCACTCGAGCAAAAAATGCAAAGCTTCAGGTCTGCAACACAAAAGCATGCTCGAGCGCAAGAGTTCTCGCTCAAGCGAAGAAACAAATAACACAAGGCTCGCTCGAGTGCAAGAAAGCTCGCTTGAGCGAAGAATACCAACCTTCAGGTCTTACATAGACACAGACGCATGCTCGAGCGCAAGAGTTCTTGCTCGAGCGAAGAGACATACCACGCAAGGCTCGCTCGAGCACAAGAAAGCTCGCTCGAGTGGAAGCTGCGTCTGAAAAGAAACTTGAGAACCCACAATACTCGCTCGAGCGCAAGAAACCTCGCTCGAGCGAAGAAGTAAATACCTAGGGCTCGCTCGAGTGCAAAAAGCCTTGCTCAAGTGAGAAAGGCAAAACTTGGGCAGCAACCATTTGTTTCAACTTACAACCAACCTATTCCAAACTTAATCAACACACCCCACAACTCAAATACAAGGAATTAAAGGATGTAAACTAGATATAGACAACAACAAACAACTACAAAACCTGAGTCCAAAATACAATAAATGACGGGGAAAAACAAGGATCACTATAATATAAAAAGTTGCAAATTTTTCAACAAATAGAATACAAAAAGACAATAAATTGGATGAGAGGATCAATTAAAAATAAAACACACAAAAGGCTCATTTGTTGAAAAGCAAACTTCTTATAATGCTTCAAATTCTTGTAAGATATTAATAGGGTTGTTTATATATATATATATATATATATATATATATTATTCTAAAAATTCGTGGAAGTGTTTTTAGTATCATTTCTACTTAAAATTCATGAAAAAAAACACTTAAATTAATTAAAAAATTAATTATTAAATAATGATTTTAACTTTTACTTTTTAATAATTAACTTTGTAACTTGTAAGAATTTTCACTAAACAAACTTCTTAAAATTGTTAAACTATTAAAGCAACTTGAATAGAGTAGTTAAATTGGTATTTTAGCTAAAACAACGAGCAAATCACTACAAAAATAACTTCAACATACTCAGTAAAGGGTTAGTTAAAATAAGGGCTAAATACACACCAAAATCTTACTTTTTGATTCTTTCACTTTCAATTGTACAATAATCCCTACACTTTTAAGTAAAATTCCAATGTTACCCTTCCATTTATTGTTAACAAGGTTTGACAAAACACTTGTTATCCGAAGCATATCTGGCATTTTCTTTTCTCATCTTATCAATATCCTTACACTAAAATTTCACTGTAATTCTTACACTTACACCAAAATCTCACTTTAGTATCTCATATTTAATTTTCATTAGCCTTATTAACAATAGACGAACAAAATTATAAAATTAAAACTTAACTTAGAATGTAAAAGATTAACTATTATAATTGAAAGTGAAGAGAATAAAGTGAACACTGTTGAAACTAAAAGGGTATTAAATATAATTTACCCTTAAAATAACTTAAACTATAGTTTCTTGAGCCAGTTTTCAGTAGCAACCTTAATAATTTATTCCTAATAAATTAGTCTCTTATTATTGTTTGAAAAAGTCAAGAGGATAAGAAAGAATATTTGGGACAAATGGTAGGTCCAAGTGGTAAAAGCCCTCTTTACTAGACGTAAGGTCTGAGTTTTGAGGCTCATCCTCCTCCCCTAGATTATATTATACACATGTGATGCAAATACTATAAACTTCTAAGAAAAATAAAATAAAATAAAGGAAGAATATTTTAAAGGATGATATCTAAATAGAGAATTTTGTTGAACTGTATATTAACATAGTGACTAGGTAAAATCAAAAAAATAAAATTTTGAATTTTTATTTTATGAACTTGTTGAAGTTGCTATTAGGCGATCATATACCATTGAATTCCCTGTTTCCTCTCTGCTGCTATGTTCACATACCACCATTTTTTTCTGGTTTAATCTTTAGTCACAGGAAAAGTAGAAAAATCAAACCTATCCTACAAAACACAATCCACACTTCCAATCCAAACTAGTTGGGACACCACCTCTAAAGGCTTAAAATGAATCAAACTATTTAAAAATTCAATTACAAAATGAACTATCCAAACTCAATTAATATTTAAGTCATTGAAAGCTCATTTCACGTCAATTCATAATCAAAACAAATGGAACTTGCCCATAAACAAAATGAAACAAAACAAAACAAAACAAATGGAACTTGAATAGGTAGGAAAACAATCAATATAGATCTAATTTGTTTGGTCAGAATCCCTTTTTTTTTTTTTTAACAAAAACACACTAGGAGATTAGCGGTTCAAATCACTTCACCTAAATGTCGTATTCGTCCGAATTGTAATTTTCATTACTAATTAATTAATGTGATACTTGACCATAATTATATTGTTATAATTGTATGGGCAAATTATACTAACAGTCCTTATAATTTGGGACTTGTGTCACTT